CCCGAGCTCCGCCGCGGGAGTTGCTTTCCCATGGCGAGAGCCTCGTCCTCCCCACGGGCGTGGATTTCATGGAACAAAACCCGGCTTGTTTCTTGGGGCAGGCTCACCCCAACTCGCACGCCATCCCGCTCAGCGCCGTCGCGTCGCAGAACGGCGATTATTCAAAAGCCGAGAAAACGACAGTGTTTCGTTACTCCTGGGAATAGGGCTGTGACCTCACGGTGGAAGAAAATCCCACTCTTCCAGGAGGATGATGAACCGGAGTAGTTCAATATCATGTGCCTTTTCTTCCGTTTGTTAGCGGCAATATCCAGGCAGTGCCTAGGACAAATATACATATTTGTTTAAACCGCTTAAATTTGTTTTTTTTCTTTCCTAAATTGCACCCTGGAGGTTTAGATCTGGCTAAATCCCACTCGCTGTATTGGAGCTGATGGGCTAAATTTACACGGAGCTAATCTAGGGAGTAAAATGTTCGGGCTTTGGCTGCGGACCACACTTGGACTGAAAGAAGACAACATTGTTAGGGTGCTTTTTTTTTCCTCTCTCTTTTTTGTTTTTATTGTTCTTGGTTTATTTGTTTTATGCTGCTTCCTGTTTTTTAAGGCAAAGGACCAAATATTCCTGCTAAAAAAGAAAAAAAAATTGTTATATTTTGACCTGTTAAATTTTTTTCCTAACGCACTTGTGATTTCTCTCTTCCAGTTCTTCCTTTGTTCGGTCTATGTCCCGATGTGCACAGAGAAGATTAACATCCCCATAGGGCCCTGCGGTGGCATGTGCCTCTCTGTCAAAAGAAGATGCGAACCCGTCTTAAAAGAATTTGGATTCGCCTGGCCAGACAGCCTGAACTGCAGCAAATTCCCACCCCAGAATGATCACAACCACATGTGCATGGAGGGCCCAGGAGACGAAGAGGTTCCCCTTCATAGCAAGACCTCCTTGCAGCCCGGGGAAGAGTGCCACAGCATGGGATCTAACTCGGATCAGTACATCTGGGTGAAGAGGAGCTTGAACTGTGTCCTGAAGTGCGGCTACGACGCCGGTCTCTACAGCAGGTCAGCTAAGGAATTCACAGATATCTGGATGGCCGTCTGGGCCAGCCTTTGCTTCATCTCGACTGCCTTCACAGTCCTGACCTTCCTGATTGATTCATCCAGATTTTCCTACCCGGAGCGCCCAATCATATTTTTGAGCATGTGCTACAATATTTATAGCATTGCTTATATTGTGAGGCTAACTGTGGGCCGGGAAAGGATATCCTGTGATTTTGAAGAGGCAGCGGAACCTGTTCTTATCCAAGAAGGTCTTAAGAACACAGGATGTGCTATAATTTTCTTGCTGATGTATTTTTTTGGGATGGCTAGCTCCATCTGGTGGGTTATCCTCACACTGACGTGGTTTCTGGCTGCAGGACTCAAGTGGGGCCACGAGGCTATAGAAATGCACAGCTCTTATTTCCATATTGCAGCCTGGGCTATCCCCGCGGTGAAGACCATCGTCATTTTGATTATGAGACTAGTAGATGCAGACGAGCTCACTGGTCTGTGCTACGTTGGGAACCAGAACCTAGATGCGCTGACGGGTTTTGTCGTCGCTCCGCTTTTTACCTATCTGGTCATTGGGACTTTATTCATTGCGGCGGGACTCGTGGCCTTATTTAAAATCAGGTCTAATCTTCAGAAAGATGGAACTAAAACTGACAAACTGGAAAGGCTCATGGTCAAAATCGGTGTCTTTTCAGTGCTGTACACCGTCCCAGCAACGTGTGTCATTGCCTGTTATTTCTACGAAATCTCCAACTGGGCCATTTTCCGCTATTCAGCAGATGATTCCAATATGGCAGTAGAGATGCTTAAAATCTTCATGTCCCTCCTGGTGGGCATTACATCAGGTATGTGGATCTGGTCAGCCAAAACTCTGCACACGTGGCAGAAGTGCTCGAACAGACTGGTGAACTCAGGGAAAGTGAAACGAGGGAAGAGAGCAGATGGTTGGGTGAAACCTGGGAAAGGGAACGAGACTGTGGTATGAGAAAAGGACGGCACCCTAATGTCCTAACTGCTCTCCCGTGAGGGACTGATCGTGTGGAAGCATTGCTGTGTAAACATGCGGAGTAGAGTAGGGAGACAGTTACACAACCTGTCTTTGGGAGATGGGAAAAAAAAAAAGCCTTTAAGAATAAACAGCAATAAACAGCAAAAAGGTCATGCTGCAGATAAAATAGCCATAAACCATGCTGCCCAAAATAGGAAAGCCCAGGGAGGCTTTAAAAGCTGTGAAATATCCAAACACATTATCTTCCTTTTTTTTGTTGTCTTTTAAAGCAGGATGCAATATACTGAAGTCTTTAGAAGCTGAGGGACTGTGGCTCCAGCTGTGGGATGTTGTTTTCTTTTCATAGTCTCGCAGCTGATGGAGGAAAGGTGGTCCAGGGCCAAATCCTGGGCTGATTTAGAGCCCAGTTATCAGAAGATGGAGCACCCAGGACCTCAGTTAGATGTCTTCTTTCCGAGTTCAGCTTTGTGAAGGAAGCGCTTGCTGGGAATTGTGTCTTTATGTTCTGAGGAAGTCTGCTGCTCCCATATGCTGCCCAGGTCAGCTGAGGATCAGGCCATCCAGCAAATACCAAGTGGACTTTCCAGGTCTCAGAGTTACCCGTAATAAGTAGGATTTAGTGAGGTAGTAGTGAGGATGGTTCTTTAAGTCATCTGATGGTCTAATAATAATTTTGACTCAGTTCTTTTACCAACTGTAATCTGGCCTGAATTGAGAGTTGGCCTTGCCTTGAGCAAGAATTTAGACCTTCCTAGGTCCTTTCCTACCTGAATTATTCTGTGTTTCCATCAATATTTCTAATTTTTAAAAAAGATTTACTCAAGGCCATTGTCAAAAGTAGGGGAGTCAGTGGGAGCTGGGAAACTATGGTCTTCTGCATCGATTATCGTTACCCACCTGCCTCGGTTCCTGTCCTTTCAGGTGCCCCTGCTACTTCCAGCAGACTACTTCATTCTGCTGCATTTAATAGCTTTAAATAAAGTCTTACGTTATAGTGTCCCTTCCTCCAGGAAAGCGAGAAATGAGTGGAGGATCTATTCAAACAATGCCAGTTTTCTCCAAGTAAGGTTATCTGTAACTCTCTGGAGACCAATTGCATGAAGCAATTAAGTCTTAATATATTTCACTCAGTGCGATGGTATCTCTGCAGACGCCAGTCTGGGGAGAAGTGAAATGTTGAGTTCCTTGGCAACCTCGTGTTCGCACAGATCAGTTGTATAATTATGTGTGTCAGTTACAATTAAAAGAACATTCTCAGCCCATGACATCGCAGTATGGCTGACTGCCTCAGAATGATGCTCCGATTGCTCACTGGCAGCTATGGAGATTTTTAAAATATATATTTACATGCAGAATGTGAGAAGAATGTGATCAGGTGTTCAGTCTGCAGGAACAGGAGGCATGTCCAGTTTTTATAAAAAGAATCCCAAGAGAAGAGATCCAACTTCTTGGTGAATAATGTTGGTTCATAGCAACTGCTGAGTTTTGTTATCCTTTCGTTTGAGGAGGTGTTGGCTTGCGCTCATGGGGAGGTTGAACCTTGTGTCAGGGACTTGTTTGGCTGATGATAAATGTGATGCAAGTAGAAATAGCGCAGGAGCACTTAAGAGAACACTGTTCTGATACTCTGTCCCTTTGAAGGACCTTGGGTTATATCTGTGTGCCCTAAACATTTGCTTTGTTTTTTGCCTGGAACGTGGTCAGCTGTGGAGCATCCCCTCCTGCACCCCAACTCGCATGACCTTCGAGGGCAGCTGAGAACAGGCACTGCTTTATTATGGTCCTCGCTTTTCACACAGGTGCCCCATATGCTTCCCAAACCACAACTCATTCCAGCTCTGGCCGTGAGCACTAATCTGTCCCAGAAGCGTGTATTGTTTCAATGTCAAAACATGTGCTAGAGCACTTTTTTTTTTTTTAAATAAAAAAAACCCCTAAACCCCAAACAAACCCTAATTGCAGTCTTTGCGGTTGGGCTCCTTCTCCAGCAGAGCAAGTGACAACTTGACACATTCTGCTCAAGACACACAAGCATTGTCTTGGCCAACACCGCATACCAGATGTGCCTTTTCAGCCTCTCCATAAAGCCTATCACTATTAGTGTTGGGTTTGGATCTAGTTATTCCTCTGTGGACAGTGAGTTCTGCAAGTAGGAGATTTTCAGATGGCTGAGCTTCTCCATCATGCAATCTTTCTCCTGGCACAGCGAGGGGTGTGAAGTTGGCAGCTATATGTTGACTTTCATAGAATCATAGAATGGTTTGGGTTGGAAGGGACCTTAAAGACCATCTAGTTCCAACCCCCCTGCCATGGGCAGGGACACCTTCCACTAGACCAGGTTGCTCAAAGCCTCGTCCAGCCTGGCCTTGGACACTTCCACGGATGGGGCATCCATCGACTTTCAAGAGGTGAGGATGCAGGATGAGCCTTTTCTTGTAACCTAACGTTGAGCTGTGCCAAGGTGTCATGTTCACTCAAGTGTCCTTCGCTTTCAAATGGTTTGGATACTCTCTGGGCCGATACAACCTGTGTTTGACCTGACTGGTTCAATAAACGGCGATTTTAACTGTTATGTACACAGAAGTGAATGTTAGGTAGTACCTTGTTATCAGATCCCTGCATCTCTGCCTTTGACCCTGTGGACTGGGACAGACGGATGTCCCTGGTGGTTTTTGATGCTGGAAGTGAGTGGGATGAGATAGCACTGCGTAGCCCTATGAGGGACCTGGGGGATATTCCATTAAAGAGCATGAGGGACTCAAATACTATGGGGAGGAGGTGGGCTGGGGAGAGACACCAGCTGCTGTTCCTGAAGGAACATCTTTCCCAAGCAGTCGAGGCAACACTGTACCAACCCAAAGCAAAATTAGTTGTTGAAGTGAGGAAACCGTTCCATAAATGCATTCATCCGCGTGCATTTACCTTGCTCCGTAGTGTGTGAGTGGGAAGTCACAGCAGATAGCCTAAAGCCCAGCAACTGCGAAGAGTAGCTGTCTGCAACTCGTGTTCTCTCATTTCAACGTTGTTATGAATTTAAAGCCAAAAAATGTGTGACTAATCCTGCCTCGGAAGTGCAGTTGCTGTGGTTGTAGCACTGCAAGCCTTACAGCAGTTACCTTCCGTGCGCAGTCCCTGCTCCTGTCTCTGCCCCAGCGTGCGCTCTTCTCACTGCAGGTTTTGGAAGCGTATGCCCGAGAGGTACAATCATAGCTCTTATGTTAAACTGACAAATTAGCTCCTTTTTTCTGAATTTTAAGGAAATAGACACTGATTATTTTGGGTTGTACAGAAAATATATCTACTTCAATGTATGTACTGTAAATTTCTAATTTATCACTGTAAAAAAATAAAACAACTTTGCTATTTAATTTTTATATCAAAATAAAATTTTAACCTCTGTGGATAACTGAGGTATTCCTGTCAGCCCTCGCTTTTTTGGTGAGTTTGTTTCTTAAATTGGCTTCATTGTTGGGAGTGCTTTTTTAACCTGGAAGAAGAAGGGCTGAAATGCTCATGCTGTGGTGAAGGGATGCTCCAAATGGGTTAATCCAGTATGGTTTGGATCTAAATGTGGGTTGCGAGGAATAGCTAAGAAGAAAACATCATTGGGCAACGGTGAAAGTATGTGCATGGTTCAGGGCTTGCATGGTGGGGGCACAGAAACCCTTTCAAAGACAGTGCACAGGTCCCGGGTGCTGGCTGGGGATGCAGTTGGAGCTTACTCCTAGGGGTAATTTCAGCCCTTCAGTAAACAGATTCAACAGATTGTCTACATGTTCTTGCAATGGGTTTTGTTTTTTTTTTAATTAAGTTCCGTAAGGCTTCACTTATTTTTCATTCCTTTTGGTCTTTCCGTACACAGTTAGGATGTATGGTGGCAGTGAGGAGTTTTTGTGTACGTCTCTTACCCGTTTCTCTGACACTGATAGTACTGTTTGCAGTAATACTCATCGTCTGAACCCACTTAATCATCTCCATCATGAAGCGTTCCGTGTGAGGGATTACTTAATTAGCATAATGTTATTCTAATAAGAATCTAAATCAGACTAGAGTGGATAATAGTGAGGGTGCGCTATAAAGAAGACAGTAGGAATTATCACCTGTGTCTGTAGCTAATCAAGTTCTGAAGAGCAGCATCTAAAACTGGTAATTAGAGTGATTTGCTCATGCCTTTGGCAGCTGTAATGTTCTCAGGTTGGTGATTAATGAGATCTCTGAAACTTATAATTAGGAGTCTTGAATGTAGTAAGTTAAATGTAACAAACATAAAAGAGCTTCTGGGGGAGGGAGTGGAATCTCCCTCTTTGTCGCTGGGGCTGTTCGCCCCATCAGAGAAGCTCGGGCATGGTGTTGGAGATGGTGTTGGCTGCTCCAGGTCTCTCTGATGGCTGCTTGCCCTTATGCCTGTCCCACATCAGGCGTCTCTGAGCATCACCCAGCTGATGACAGTGGATTGCTGGAGGGGCTTCGAATGGGGTACAACCTCCCCGAGCCACTGTGACAACAAATCAGCCCAGGTTTGCCTATGGAGGGGAGTATGTGTCTGTACACAAAACTCACCAAAAAACAGCCTTTATGAGGACTTTGTGTGGTTGGGTTGCTATTTAGGCTTGGGGTTGGTTTTGTCTTTTTTTTTTTAAAAAAGAGCACATGTGAAGGAGTTTGTAGCAAAAAAGGAGGCCAGCGTTCTGCTGCCAGAAATCGGGAGCATCCTAAGCTCCAGTAATGTGAAATTGTGGTATCACGAGACCCTGGCTTCAGTGGAGTTTCCACCACACCCACTCCATCCTCAGCCACTCATTCCCATAACTGAGCCGTGTCTCAGCTCCTCCTTCCTTTTGCCAGTACAACTATTTGCGGTGCTGCACTGCCAAGCAGATCAGCAAAAAGATCCTGGTTAAAAATAACCATCAGAGTTTTTGCTTTGTCTTGTGCCGGAGGTTTGTCTTTAACTTGGATCATGTCAGCGATCTGGTTTATGGGGCAGCCCCACCCCGAGCGGTGCCGGCGCAGCGAGGCAGCATGAAGTGCTGGGGAACAGGGGCCTGGCTTATGCTGCCTTCGCTCCCAAAGGCAGCATCCTGCGGAGCTGCTCCCCTAGCCCTCTTGCACTGTCATAGAATCATACAATCATAGAATCACAGATTGGTTTG